GCTGTGTTCATCCAGCCCTGCACCTTGCTGTCTCGGATTCTCCAGCATCTGCAGTTCCTACTATCTAAAATACATAAAGGTTTAGTTATGAGGAAGTTTCTAAATAATCACGTCTATAATATCTAGGAATAAGCACACAGGAAATGGTGTAGAGAATGTTCTGCCCTCTGCACCCTTAATTTATGTTTGTAAGCTATAATTCACCTTTTCTCATGGACACTCAGTAAAAATTTATTTACATACTTCAGCGGTGTCTTATACATATATTGCACATTAATATTGGTTACAACATTACTTAATATATCTTTATACATGAATGTATGTTCTGAGCAAAAAGCTCATATAAGGTACTGCAAACAACTTACAAGTTTTCCTTTACCCCCTTGGCTCATAATAGTCAGTAAAACAGCATTCGCTCTCAGTAATGATTGCAGTTTATCTATACATCATAAATATGAACTTACTTTACAACATAAAAGCACAAGAACTGTCAATTGAATAATATATCAGAGATACTAGATCCTTAACTATTTACTTATGAATATTAAAGTCCTTTTGGAGATATGGTAGACAGTCAGGTTAGTAGATTGACAGTATAGAGGAAAATATGGTCCCTTCAATTACTAGCACCAATTTAATAATTATTGATTTAATTGAATTGATTCATTCTTTTCAGATTCTTGCCTCTGAGCATGAGATTTCTAGACAGTTTTGACATGTGGAGATCTAAACTCTGGTTTGATAACCAGTGGGAATATTTGTGCCTGGTGCACATTGGTGGACCTCATTTATCATATCACTTATGAGAGCTTATAGAACGTTCTTGCCATATAGGGTCAATATAATAACTGGCACATAGATAATTACACTGTGGCTGGTCTGTTGTCCAGCTTGAAAATCCTTCTACAGGTTCACGCTATTTCCTAAGAGAAAAAGGTGAAGTCATACAAACAGTAAGTACTACATCATTGCTTGGAAGTCTATGGTGCGATCAAAGTTTCAATCTGCAGGTTGTCCCAACACTACTACATAATCTCAACAAGGTATTCCTTCAATTTCTTTTGGTACAAGTGTAAATAATAATTAAAATTAATCGTGCAGCACTGAGGTACATAGAGCAGGAAGATCACAGATTCAATCTTGGATCTCAGTCGGCTTGTTTCTGTCAAGCCAGTTACAGGAATCCTGTAATCGGGCAGAATCTCGTGACTAAAGAGGAACAAAACAAAATCAGCCAAACCCCTGATTCCCAACTGCTGATCACCTGTAGGAAACACAATTCAATTTTCCCAGTTTGAGCACTGCCCCAAGATGGTCCCTGTCTACAAAGCAGTGACTGCATTTCAAAAGGTAATTCTCCAGGTCAACTGCTTTGAACTATTTTAAAATGGTCAGATTCCATATAAATCCAAGCTTTATTATGTTATATTTGACATCTAGTTGCACAACGGTACTGTCCTTACCTCTGGGCTGGAAAGTCCCGCTGTACTGAAGGAGTGCTACAACATTGAAACAAGTTTATTACAAGTAACTTAAATATTTTAAGCTTATATTAAAGTGAACTTGAAAGGATAAGTTGATAAAAGCTTAATATGTTTCCAGTCTGAAGCACAACATATTTATAGCACAACACAAAGATTTAGAGAGAATACGTTAATCAATGTATCAAGATATGAGGAAGGATCTGATTCAGACACATTTTAATTTGGATGGATGTTTGCAAACTTTGATTTAATCTACTTAATTGGCATTTCTGAAGAAGGGTCTAGGCCTGAAACGTCAGCTTTCCTGCTCCTCTGATGCTGCTTGGCCTGCTGTGTTCATCCAGCTCCACACCTTGTTATCTCTATTCTACTACACTGCTAAGTTTCTACTCTACATCCAGTAGGGGAATTTCATGGAGTTTGCAAGAACAGGAAATGTGATGGGTAAGGTGACTGAATTGTGTGGAAGCTGAAATTTCAATTTCCTGGCGTTGGGTTGAGGTGTAGAGATTAAGTCAGAGGACAGCACCGTGGTTGTGACATGCCAAACCTCATACCAGGCTGTGGCAGGTTCCCATTTGTAATAAAACTGTGTTCCATTAATACTCAAGAGCATAAACCTACTTTCAATTATTACCTTCAAGTTAAAGTCAGCAGTGCATGAGAATCTCAGAGCACTGGTTCATATTCATTTATAAACAAGGGCTTAACCTTGTGCAGTTGTGTCTGAGGTCAGTGATTTACTTGGTTAGAGACAAAAAGAAACTGCAGATGCTGGAATCCAAGGTAGACAAACTGGAGGCTGGAAGAACACAGCAAGCCAGGCAGCATCTGGAGGAAAGCAGCAGTCAACAGTCAATATTACCCTTCTTCAGGACTGGAAGTGGGGGTAGGGGGAGCTGCAGATAAAGGGGAAGAGAAGCGGAATGGTGATGACAGGTGGACACTGGGCTCCACCTATCACCACCATTTCGCTAACCACCCCCCACAACTCTTTATCTGCAACTCCTCCTACCCCCACATCCAGTCCTGAAGAAGGGCAAGACCAAATCGTTGACATCTCCTTTCCTCCAGATGCTGCTTGGCGCGCTGTGTTCTTCCAGCCTCTGTTTATCTACCAGTGATTTTACTTATTGAACTCTGCATCATTAGGGAATGGAGTAGGAAAGTGGGAGGTTGCATGGAAACTGGCAAGAATGACTTAGTAGTAAGGAGAGTGGTAAGGAGTGTCTGGAGGCATGGGGAAACAGACAAGGGAAGGGCCTGGCATTTTGGTTGTGGTGGGGTTGGTGGAATAGACAGTGCAAGTAAGAAAATGAGGGACGTAAAAGATGGTGTCAACAATGTCCACATGAGGTCTATCTCTGGTTGTCGGCTGGCAAAGCTCTTATAGGGTTTTGAATTCACCAAGAACATGTCAATTAACCCTGCTGAAAGTGATCTCAGGCAATATTCTTTACAATGCATTGAAGGGACAGCCAGTTGAAACTGCAAGTTCAGCCACGTCACACAGACTGGAGAGTATAAAACAGGACACGTGAACAATAAAACTCATCATTGTCTCTTCCACAAGAATGATATGTTCCTAATTCCACTGTAACCAATGTGTGCCAACCATGAGATGTGCCAGTACATGTAGTTCTCTGACTAAACTAGTCTCCACAAATAACAATGATGCCAATATAAATAAAGTGAATTACCATTGGGCAGGAAAGTTGTGACTCTGATGAACTGTCTCCCTGCTTGTCCAGGAGGCTCTTTTACAACCCATCTGTAGCTCCAGTGGGTTGAACTTCTCCTGCTGTATGATGTACCTTGTAGTTCTATTGATTATAATTGTAACTGTGCAGGGACGAGGAAAAAGCAAGAAAGAAATTCTGCCACTGGAAATGTCATGCCACTGTTAAATTTATGCCCTGTGTCTGAATTTAACCAAATTCAAATTATCATGAAACCAGGTCTTGCAGACTGTGAGTGGTGATCGCCCAGTGCAGTTGCGACACAAAATTTTGAGGTCCTGAGCAATGCCTGCAATGGGACTTGGACTGTGTGGCCCCCTTAAAGCTTTGCTTTTTTTTTGTTATTGGTGGACATGGGTTAATGGACTACTCTCTCACAGCCTGGATTGCTGAACAGAACAAGCTTGTGAAACAGTAGGTGTTGCATTTCTTGTGGAACGCCTGGCTTTGCATCAACTTTGCCCACACTCATCTTACTTCGCCCACAGCTGATCAACAGCTGAAATCTCCCCCGCAACAAGTCTCAAAGCCCCTAAATTTTCACTCTGGGATAACACAATGCCAGAGTCATTAAAATGTGGTCACACCAGGAAGACATTTGAGAAATGCTGTGATAAAACATATATCTATATATATATATTTATAGTGTTAGTGGCTGCATGGTAATTAAATGTATCATCTTGCAATCTTTGAGATTTGTCTCCATGCTAGTAGTCTCAGTTCTTACTTAAACAAGCACTGTACATTCTCTCTTTAAAGTTTGTTCTGTGAATCTGACCGTAAAATGCAAGACTTCCTTTGGTTTTGTTGTATTGCTAACTAAAGTATGTGAAGTCCAAACCTGTATTATATTTGTAATACATTTTATCATATTATTAGCTGCCCTTTTAAATGGAAAGGCAATTTAAAAACATAATTATTATCCAAGGTTGACTTTAGAAATGATGTTCATAATGGTATCCAAATGTTTGGGACACCTGTAAGCTACTAAGCCCCCTTTATTGGCCCATCTGTCCACACCAGTGGCACCATTCACTGGTGTATTATAGATTAACTCAGGAAGTTCATCCAAATTACCATCTTTTATTCTTTTCAAGTATTCTCTAAAGTCTACCATACCTCCTCCCAAAGACCTCAGTATAGCATGAGGTGCACAGCAGTCCCATTTGAAAGTGGTGTCCTCAGAAAAAAGATAGACACTGACAAAGCCTTGTACAGCACATAGGCTCTTATAGCCAGCACCAGCTGCATAGTACAACCGTAACATGGACAATGCCGTCTTGATAGCTTCGTTTTCACTTGTACTAATGACAGCTGATAAATTATCATCTCCAGGCTGCAGCTCTTCATTCCACCTTGGATCTTCATGCTGATCATCAGTTGACTGAGATGTAGCATTTGCATCCTGATTCTGCAGTGAACAGATGTTGATGTCTTTATACGAAAGCCCCCAGAAATATTGACCTCTCCATCTGAGAAGAAAAACAATAATATTAAATGAAGAGACAACACAGTGTGGAGCTGGAGGAACACAGCAGGCCAGGCAGCATCAGAGGAGCAAGAAAGTTGACATTTCGGGTCAGGACCGTTCTGCAGTTCTTGCTACCTCTGAATATTAAATGAAGATTGGTTACTTTGACCTGGTTATGTAGAAAAAGTATATAAGAATAGGATGAGAACATCACTTTTGAGCTTGGTCACCCTTTCAATTTGATCATGACTGATGTGTATTTTAATTCAATTTACGCTTCTTAGTTCTGCATTCCTTGTCACTCTTGCCTAACAAAACTGGAAGTCCAAAATTATTAGATAAAGCTTTGATTTTGTTTTACAATTGTGTTTGCAACTACAGAGACTATTATATTAATTTTGCAGAAGTATTTCAGTGCAAATGAAGCAAGGGTGATGTGAGAAGACTTTTCACGCAGCGAGTTGTTACTGCATGGAATGCACTGCCTGGAAATGTGGTGCAGGTAGGTTCAATTGTGGTATTCAAGACAGAATTGGATGGTGTGCAGGGCTACAGGGAAAAGACAGGAGAAGGGCACTATATAACAGAGCTGGTGCAGACAGTATAGGCCAAATGGCTTCCTTTTGTGGCAAAATAATTCTGTGATTCTGTATGACATGTCAATTTTTCTGTGGGGAAAGAGATCAGACGTGCAATATTTCCACAATGACAACATGCATTATTGATTTCATAACATGTTTTAATGAAATAGTTTCACAAAACTTGCATCATCATTTAATACTTGCCAAACAAACATTGATCATTAGCACATTCCTGTCAGCACAGTGTCTTTGCTTACAACATTAACAACATTCATTTATGTAACACTTTTAAGCTGGGCCAACATTCCAAGTTACTTCACAGAAACACCACGTAAGAAATTATACACTGCATCAAAGAAGTCAGAATGTGCATAAACAAAGAAGCATGGGTCTTAAGGATGGTCTTAAAGGTGGAGAGAAAATAAAACTATTTCTCTCTCTAAATATGATCTGACCTCCTGATTAATTCCAGTATTTTCTGTTTACATTTCAGATTTCCAACAGCTGTAATGTCTTGAGTCAATTGGTCTCTGAACTGAACATACGGAACAAACATCCACAGGTCTCTGGTCTCGAGAATTCCAGAGATTCACAACCTTCCCAAAAGAAGATGTCTCTTTTCGTTTTATGTCGAAATGGAAGACCCCTCTTAATCCAGAACTGTGACCTGGTGTTTTTGATTCACACACCACTGAAACATTTTTTTAAGTGTCTAATCTGTCAAGCCTTAAGTTAAATCCTAGTTCTGATTAGGCCACAGGCCTGAAATATTTGCATTTGTTTCTCTCCACACAGATGGTACCAGACCAGCTGAGCCATTTCCTGCTTTTCATTTCAGAGGTTCAGAGATTTTTGGGTACTAAGAAAAATAAGCAATATGGGGCTAATGCCGGAAGATGGAGTTTAAGTGGAATATCAGCCATTATCTTGTTCAATCGTGGACAGGCCTGAGGGGCTAAATGGTTTACTACTGCTCCAGTTTCCAATGTTCCAGTAAGTTTAAAAGTGTCTGCTTGGACCACATCATGTGCCATCAAATCTCACTCTGCTTTGACAAGAACTATCTGTTAATTCTGTGTCATTCTGAAATGGAAATTTAACTCCTGTCTCAATTGCCCGCTGCCATTAATAAATATTTTATTAATTCCCTGGATTTAGAAGTGAAGGAGGGAGAGTCAGAATGTAAACATTCTATGAATTTCATGTGCTAAAATGGTATTGTCATTCGCACCGTGACATTGACAAGAATCCAGACAGCAGTTCTCCACAATTCATCTCAAGTGGGTAGATTCTTTGGAGGGAGGGGGAGGGGAATCAAGAAAATTTTAAATATGTTCTACTTCCTACTCAGAAAAAGCACCATGCTAACTGTTAGTATTGGTTTTATCATTGGGTTCAAAGCCACATTTGTGTCTGTTATGAGTAATATAAGGTGCATGTAGGACAAAGAGAGGGTGTATACGTAGGAGTGCAGACTAAGTGTGTGCAGTGATTACATCAAATTGCATTTCTTGTATAGCTTGACATTTAGGAATAGCAATGGAGTCAGATGTCTGGCTTGCTAAAAATAACAGGAAGAAAAATACAAACTGCAGTACTTAACAATGTATCACAGAGGAGCCAGTGTTATTATGACTGCTCAATTCACGTATAATGATGGATTATGCACCAGACAAAACCCACTTATTTTACAAGAGCACCATCTACAGTCCTTAGTTCCACAAAACAGATTAGCATGATGTGTTGAATTTTGGCTTTATTCCTGTCACATGTATCTCGAGTAGCAAACGTTTTATATGGTGCTTGAGACTCCTTGTGAGAATTTAATTTCATTCTCTCTGCCACACAGCTTCTGAATATTACAAAATGTCTCCATTTGCCTATCTTTAACATTTTTTTGTCTATTTCAAGTGAAGCTAACATAAGGAAGTCTTTAAAGACAGAGTAGGAAATAGGAGAAAGAATTTAGGAAGGACATTGCAAAGCGAAGGGCTAAGAGACATGAAACGTGCTCTAACGAATGGTGGAAAAAAGGGAAGACTACATCCATACGAACTAGAATCAGGGTATTGTAAAATAGAAGGCCGATGAAGAGGCAGCAGAATAGAGCGACGTGGGAATAATCTGTGGACAAGGATAAGGATCTTAAATTTAACTGATTAGTGGTGGTGAGGCAGGAAGTAATGGAAGAGTGTAACTTACTGTGAATAGATAAGATGGAATTGTGGACAATTTGGGAGTTAGGGAACAAAGTGTCTAGTGGGAGAGTGGAATTGAAAGAAATCCATATTAGTAAGAAAATGGTGGTTGGGAAATTAATGAGAGTTAAAAGCTGACAAAGAACCAGGGCCTGATTATCCAAATCCCAGCGTACTAAAAGAAGTGGCCCTTGAAATATTTGGATGCATTGGTAATCATCTTCCAAAATTCAATAGACTCCAGAGCAGTTTCTACAGATTGGAAGGTGGCAACTATTTAAAAAGTGAGAGAAGAAACAGAAAATTACAGTCCAGTTAGCCTAACGTCAGTAGTGGGGTAAATACTACTGTAAAAGATGTGAAAAGAGAACATTTGGAAAACATTGACAGGTTTGGAAAAGCCAGTAGTGGTTTATAAAGGGCAAATCATGCTTAACAAATCTGCTGGAAGTTTTATGAGGATGCAACTAGTACAATACTTAAGGGAGAACCAGTGGATATAGTGTATTTGGATTTTCAGAAGGCTTTTGATAAGGTCCCTCATAAGAGGTTAGTGGCTCTGCACATGGGATTGGGGAAAATATACTGGCATGAATCGAGAATTGGTTGACAGACAGGAAACAGAAAGCGGGAATAAATAGGTCTTTTTCCAAGTGGCAGACAGTGACTAGTGGGACACAATAGGATCAGTGGTTGGGCTCAGCTTTCACAGTATACATAAATGATGTGGATGAAGAAACCAAATGGAGTACTTCCAGGCTTGCTGACAACATAAGGCTGGGTGGGATGGTAAGAGATGAGGGGGATGCAAGGAAGCTTCAAGGTGATTTAAACAACTTGAGTTAATGGCCAAATAACATGGCAGATGCAGTACCATTTGGTTAAACGAGATGTTACACACTTTAGTATGAGAAACAGAAAGGAGGAGTTTAATTTAAACGGTCACATACTGGAAGGTGTGAGTGTACAAAGGGATGTGGGTGTTCTTGCACACCAGTCAATGAAAGTAGACAGACAGATGCAGCAAGTAATCAGGAAGGCAAATGGAATATTGACCTTCATTGCAAGAGGATTTGTATTCAAAAGTAGGGGTGTTTGGTTTACATGGAGACCATACTGGAAGTATTGTGTGAGGTTTTGCTCTACCTACCTGAAGAAGGATTTACTTACCACAGAGGGAATGCAGCAGATCATACCTGAAGTATTGTGTGTAGTTTTACTCTTCCTACCTAAGGAAGGATATACTTGCCATCAAGGGAGTACAATGGTGATACCGGGGATGCAGGATTGACCTATCAGGAGAGTTTGATTTGACTGAGTCTGTGTTCACTAGAGGTTCGAAGGATGAGAGGGGATCTGATCAAAGCGTATAAAATTCTAACAGAGTTGGACAGACTAGATGCAGGGAAGATGATTTTGCTGGTTGGGATGTCTGGAACCAGAGTCTCAGGATATGAGATAGACCATTTAGGACTGAGATGAGGAAAACCTTCTTCACTCAAAGGGCTGTGAACCTGTGGAATTCTGTATCACAGAAGGCTGTGGAGGTCGAGTCACTGAATATATTTAAGAAAGGGATAGATACATTTTTAGATTTTAAAGACATCAAGGGGTATGAGGAGAAGCAAGACTATGGAATTAAGATAGAGGATTAGCCATGATCATCTTGAATGTCGGAGCAGGCTCGAACAGCCAAGTGGCTTACTCCTGCTCCTATGTTCCCTCAAGTTCATGGAGCATGGAGGTAGGGCTATTGGTGAAAAAAGCATCCAAGAAATTCATTGGTTTTCCACATCTTAAATTTGAGGAAATTCCATGAATTTGTGCCATTCAGGCTGCCCAGAGTGGTCATGAAATAGGAACAATTATTGAGAGTGTAATCTGGGTGCTGTCAACTTGCACAGGAAGTCTGGCAATCAGAGGTCAACACATAAATATGGAAAAGGAGGAAGGAACATTGTGGAACATTGGATGTCACTCTGCATGGCTAGAAAGAGAAGTTATTTTTTGATGCCGCTCTGGATGTAGTAGAATGTTGGAGTAAAAAAGCAGAACTTTTCAGAAGTCGGTCCATAATGGTGACTTTGAGAAAGAGAACAGGGCAAAAGGGCACAATTTAGCACTCAGCTCATTGAAAGGTCAAAAGTTGGTTATGGAATGAATTATTGGAGCAGGATTTGAATTTCATCCATGAGAAGGACTTAGACAAGTAAAGATGGCAGAAAAGTATTAGTGTGGTAGAGGAAGAAACTTAGTGTGAGTGAGGAGTTGGAGGGTTTTATCAGGACAAAGCAGATGCTGATTATGGCTGAGAACTGATGATCTCAACCTTTAAGATAAAATATATCTGCTCATGCTTGGTTGGTTTTGGAAGTGAGAGCAAAGCAGGTGAAACAAGGGGGCCAGAGGAGCTCTTAATGAACAATGGAGCTTTCCTTTCACAGAATCATATAATTATTAGAGCACAGAGGAGGCCATTGGCCCCATTTTGCCTGCACCAGCTCTTCAAAAGAGTGTCATTACCTTGTGCAAATACCCTGCCTTTTTCCCCTCCTTGCACACTATTTCTTTCCAAATAATCATCCAGTGTTCTCTTGAATGCCTCAACTGAACCGGCCTTCACCACATTTCTAGGCAGGGCATTCCAAACCCGAACTACTGTGCTTGCTGTGTGAAAACATTTTTCACCTCACCCTTGCTTCTTTTACACATAACTTTAAATCTATGCCCTTTCGTTCTTGTTCCTTTTCTGACCATGAACAGCTTCTCGCTATCTACTCTGTCCGGACCACTCATCATTTTGACCGCTATAAAATTTCCCCCAAAACTCTCCCTCCAAAATGATCCCAAACTTAACTGCAGCAAGGAAAACAGAGTAATGATTGAGATGATCAAGATCGCTTTAGTGGTGAAGCACAAGGTTAAATATCTAGTGCTGAAAGTTTTGGCTCTGAAGGGACCTTAGCAGGCAGCAGACATGATCAGATAACCCCCTCTCCTAATCTGACGTTAATGTAAAGTAAAAAAAGGCAGTCAATCTGTTCATGTCAATATTCTACTGAGATTAGTTTAAAATTACTTTCGAGTCTCTGATTAATTAGAAACCTAGAAGAAACCTGTTTGTTCATGTTTTCTGTCATAATTTTATAGCAGGATTTTAAAAGCTTTATCCTACACTAAACTTTACCATTAGTTTAGGAGTCTCATGATGAAAAGCTTCACTGCTGAATATTTGACTTTTGAGGCTAGAATGGTAATACCATACTGTTACACATGATTGTACATTCCATCTGTTGTATTTTTTTTACCTGAGACTATCTGGATCACGGGTTACAAAGGGCTGGTTGATGACCCCCATTATGGGGAGCCCAGAACTTCGGTTATATACACCAATCAGAATGGTCACACACTGGAGGCCTTTGGAGTAAATTCCATCTTTAGGCTTTTCATCAGCATATCCTTTTATGTACTGAAATGTTGAGTCTAAAGAGATAAGAACATTTGTGTAAAAGAAACAAGAAATTTTTTCTGTTGTTACAAACATTGGAAAATAAAACTGACAATGAAAGTCTGTCTGCTGCATAAGAAAAATGAGATACAGTTTTAACAACTGATGTATGTTTCTTAAAATTGACCCTTTATTAGCAGTGTTCACACCAAACTTTCCTTTGACATGATAACAGAAGTTGATTATACTTGGACTTAATAGCCTTTTCTCATTTCATGCTTCCTATGAACTTGAGTGTCCCTTTATTCTTGGTCATGTGTCTCAGGTTCATAACCATGATTTTCAACTTGGAAAGTTCCTTTTAGACAGGAGAGAAAGGTAACAGGAGATGATAGACCTACCCTCTTTTTCAGGGAAAAAGTGTAAGGTTGGAGATAGAAAGAACTGCCGATGCTGGAGTCAGAGATAACACAGTGTGAAGCTGGAGGAACACAGCAGGCCAGGTAGCATCAAAGGAGTAGGAAAGCTGACGTTTCGGGTCAGGACCCTTCTTCGGAAGGGTACCGATCCGAAACGTCAGCTTTCCTGCTCCTCTGATGCTGCCTGGCCTGCTGTGTTCCTCCAGCTCCACACTGTGTTATTTAGGTCTAAGGTAGGTTAACTTCTATCCCTTAATTGCAGCCCTGTAGTACTGTATACTTAGAGGATAATACATTTTACAAGAAGGCTGAAGAAGGATAGAACCACATATATTAATGGTTGAAAATAAAGTTCTAAAAGTGCATGCATTGTATTTTAACTTTTGTGGTTTTTGCTTTTTGTTTCCATGGACTGAATTTTCTGGATATTCATCTCTAAAGTGGGAACAGAATGCAAGAGGATGTGGGCAGAAAATACCTGAGTCAGCCAATCCAGATGCAAGCAACAGTCAGCAAAACAGTTTGTGGATGGGACAGGAAGCACTTGCCTCCTTCTAACTGAGGCCAATGAAAGCAGTTGTAAAGGTCATAAATTGTTTGTTGGACAGGGACAGTGCACTATTTAAAGCATGGTGCAAGTTTCAGAAGCTGACAGTTTCTGATCAACTGTCAGGAGGTGGGTACACAGTGGGGAGTGTCTCAAGGCTGCCTTAAGGCAACAGTCCTTTCCCCTGGGAGGGTCAATGTGACAAAGAGGATACAGCACTTTGAGACTAGGTGCATTTGGGGCAGTACAGGTCGCATAGACAATGGACATAGTGTTTACGCATCAAATGGCGTCATCACCCAATAGATGTCACGGGGACAATGGAGCAGGAGGCAACGCAATCAATTGCAATAGGATGGCCAGCTATCTAAAAGGCAGCTAGCAGTGGGGCACAACTGTCAGCTTCTGGAGCCAGTAGTGATGGGGGGCAACATCCTCAGCAGGATAGGTGGAAGCCTGGATATCAACAGGGCATGGGAAAGGAAACAGGATTAAAAACAAAGCATGCCAACCCTAAGACAACAATCAAGCAGGTCATTGGGCGATTGAAGATGTAATTCTGTTGCCTGAATTGGATATGCCCTCCAATATCATCCAGCAAGGATTGCCGCCATTGTAATGTTATTGTGTGCTCTCCATTTCATGAGTCTCCAGAGAGGTGTAGAAGTTGAGGACAATGAGAATCTGCAAGGAGACTGTTCATCATGCAAAAGCAAGGAAAGGTAGACGACATTGAACAGTGGAGTGCTGTCTGCATGGAAAGGTGTCTCCTCCTGATGCTGTCAGGACAAGAACCTCTTTCTTGCTTTCACGGTCTCCAGCATTAGATTCAGATTGGTATCAGTGAGGAAGGTGGCAGTGTGGTGGTAATGACACTGGCTAGTAACCCAGAGACCCATGCTCTAGTGTGCTTGGAACATTGGTTTCAATCCCACTATGGCAATTGGTGAAATTTGAATGCAAAAAATTCTGGAATTTCCATCTAGTCTAATGGAGACCATGTATTAGTATCAGTAGGCATGACAACCATACAGTCACATTGAGGATGTTCTCTATCTTGTTGTGTGGAACTACTACTATGCTAATTACGACAGACGTTGAATGTCTAGAAACTCAAAACCAGGCATTAATGAATGGCTGTGGGCCATCAGCAGCAGAAGAATTGCATTCACCTATTGGAATAGGATTAGGTCATTTGGTCCATTTAACCTGCCCTACTTTTCAATATGGCTGATCGAACACTTCAATGCCTTTTACTGAACCCATCTTAGCTGCATCTACCCTGTCTAGCCCTTTAAGTATTTTGTAGGTTTCAATGAGATCACTGTTCATTCTTTGAAATTCTAGACAGTTCAGGCCCAATTTGCCCAATCTCTCTTCATTGGGCAGTCCAGCCAAGCCAGGAATGTCTAGTGAACCTTTGTTGCACTCCCTCTATGACAATGCCTTTCCTGAGGCACGGAGACCAAAACTGCATTCAGTACTCCGAGTGTGGTCTAACCAAGCTCTTACACAATTGAATACAATTCACTCCTCCTGTACTTAAATTCTCTTGCAATGAAGGCTAATATTCCACTAGCCTTTCAAATAGTTTGCTGCACTCACATATTAACCTTCTGTAACTTATTGACAAGGACACCCAAGTCCCTTTGTACATCTACATTTTACAACCTCTTACCTTTTAAGAAATGCTTTGCAGATCTGTTTATTCTACCTTAGTAGGTAAGTTGATATTTTTCCACATTATATTCAATCTGGCATATTCTTGCATATTCAACAAACCGGTCCAAATACTCCTGCACCTGCTTTTCATCTTCCTCACAACATACACTGACTCTTAGTTTCGTATCACCTGCAAATAAGGGAAGGAAAGGCCTAGTGGTATCATTGCTGGACTGTTAATCCAGAGACCCAGGCAATGTTCTGGGGACCTGGGTTTGAATCCTGTCATGGCTGATGGTAGAATTTGAATTCAATAAATATCTGGAATTAAGAGTTTAATGTTGACAACGAATTGATTGTTGGAAAAACCCATTTGTTTCATTAACATCCTTTAGGGGAGGAAACAGTCATCCTTACCTTGTTTGACTCCAGATCCACAACAATGTAGTTGACTCTTAACTGCCCTCTGGGCAATCAGGGACACCCTCATTCAATGAATGAACAGAAAATAAAAATGGAAACATTACATTTGGTCCCCTCCTACAAATCATTGATAGCATACATATTAGTGAACATCTGGGGCTCAAGTACTGATTTCTGCAGTGCCCCACTAACCACAGCCTGCCAACAGAAGAATGACCCTCATTTATTCCTACTCTCTGTTTTCTCTTTGTTAGCTAATCATTAATCCATGGCATATGCTCACATCTTTCTAACCAGTCTCCTGTTGGGGATTTTGTCAAAAGCCTTCCAAAAATCTAAGTACACTATGCCCATCATCTCTCTTTTAATGATTTTGTTAGTAACATCTTCAAGAAAACTCCCAGTTTGTCAAACACTATTTCCCATTTGTAAATCCATTCTATGCCCAGTCAGATAATTTCATGCAAGTGCACATTAATCATTTACTTTAACTTAGATTCTAGCACCTCTGATATGACGGATGGGAGGCTCACAGGCAGTTCTTTGTTTTCTATCTCACTCTCTTCTCTTCTCAAACAGTGGGATGACATTTTTACCTTCCAATCTACAGAATCATTCCAGAATCTACAGAATTTCATAAGATAATCATAAATGCATTGACTATGTCTATAGACACCACCTTCTTCAACACTTTAACTGCAATCTGTAACCTTATAGCATGGAATATCCTCAACTACACCATTACCATCAAACCAGGAGATCTACTCTGGTTCAACACAATGTGGAAGAGGGCATGCCAGGAGCAGCACCAGGCATACCAGGTGTTAACCTGGTGAAGCTACAACAGAGGACTACTTACATGCAAAACAGAAGAAGCAGCATGCAAAATAAACAGGGCTAAGTGATGCCATGACCAATAGATCATATCTAAGCTCTGTGGTCCTGCTACATCTAGTTGTGAATAGTAGTGGACAATTAAACAACTAACAAGAGGAGAAGGTTCCATAAATATCCCCATCCTCATCAATGGGATAGTCAAGCATGTCCATGTAAAAGACAAGGTTGAAGCATTTGTACCCATCTTCAACCAGAAGTGTTGACTGGATGATCAACCTGAATCTCCTCTTGAGATTCCCAAAATCACGGAAGTGAATCTTCAGCCGATTGGATTTACTCCATGTGATGTCAAGAAATGGCTGAAGGCACTACATTCTGCAAAGGCTAGGGAGCCTGAGAACAGAATGCTGCAGAATTAGCCGTGTCTCTAGCCAAGCTTTTCCAGTATTGCTACTGGCATCTACCAAACAATGTGGAAAATTGCCCAGGCACATTCCGTTCACAAAAAGCAGGGCAAATCTAACCTGGCCAATTAGTTCCCGATTAATCTACTCTTGATCATCAACGAAGTGACAGGAGGGGTGATCCACAGTGCTATCAAGCAGTACTTGCAAAGGAATAACCTCTCAACTCAGTTTGGATTTTATCAGGGCATTCATTACAGCCTTGGCCTAAACATGGACAAAAGGGGTTAATTCCAGAGGTGAAGTGAGAGGGACTGCCCTCGACATCAAGGCTGCATTTGACCAAGTGTAGCATCAAGGTGCCTGAGCAAAACTGAAGCCAGTTGAAAGTGGGGGAATGGTCTCTGCTGGTTGGAGTCATATTTAGCACAAACGAGGATGGTTATTGGTCATCTTGGTCCAAGAACATTGTTGCATAAGTTCCTTAAGGTAGTGTCTGAGGCCAACCATCTTCAATTCCAAAGAAGAGTCATATTGGACTCAAAATGTTAATTCTCTTTCTCTAACCACAGATGCTACCAGACCTGCTGAGTATCTCCAGCATTTCCTGTTTTTATACAGTTAAAAAAAGTGATGGGCTGCCTTGCTGTCTTCCAGACTTGTGGCTTCTTTATGGCATCTCATTCCTTTCTGCTACTGTGAAATTGTTCACACAAACTGCTGATCTTCCCCTCAGTACAACT